ATTGGGTGATGAGGATACGTGCTCGGTGCTTTCTGGAATTTCTGAATTTGGATCTCAGCCAGAAGAAGCTGATCTTTATTCTCTCCAAGAAATAAACTCTTTCTTGGACGAGACTTTTGGTAGGGCGGTTGATGTAAAGGATTTTTTCCCGGATGTTGACAAATGTGTCTCTTCAGTAGTGCGAATTCAGCGGAATGTTGGATACGATGCCTTGAGTGAAAAAAGAGGTTTCGGCTGAAAAAGTTCTTAACTAAATTACGGAGGGGTAAAGGCCCTGTTTCACTGAAAAAATAATATGCACACACTGCACAAGGTGTACTTCTTAACTCTGGTCTTTTCTCTGGGTCTGTCCTTCCTCTTTACCTTTATTTGTATGGAGCTTCTCAGAGTGGGCTCTTTAAACATGAATAGGGGTAGGGATAGGAACAAGTTAGAGATGCTTTCAGAGATGATTAGGATTAGGAAAATTGATATAATTTTTCTACAAGAAACCCATTCTGATAGTGAAAATGAAACTGACTGGGGAATATGGTGGAAGGGCTCCTATACTCTTAGTCATGGGAGTAACTCTAGTGCAGGGGTAGCTGTGCTGTTCTCCACTTCACTAGATGTGACTTTGCAGTCAACCACAGAACTTGTGAAGGGGAGGGTGCTTTTAATCAAAGCTGAGATCAGGGGGGTTTTCCTTTCTTTTTGTGAATGTATATGCAGCGACTAAGGGCACTGAGTGTCTAGAGGTCTTCTCAAATTTACACCATGCTCTTTCAGGATATAGTAATGCAGACATGTGTGTGGTAATGGGAGGGGACTGGAACTGCACTACGCAGTTCACAATTGATAGGAACGGGGAGGAACCACATAGTCAGTCTAGTATTAAACTTGCATGTTTAGTCTGTGAATGTGGTTTAATGGATGTATGGAGAGATAAAAATGAGGGAGTGAGGCAGTACACATGGTTAAAGGTAGGTAATTCCAGAGTGTGTGGGGCTAGGTTGGTCAGGTTTTATGTAAGCAAAGGTTTTAACAGCCGGGTGGTGAGAGCAGGGGTAATTCCTGTGCGGTTTTCCGATCATCATATGGTCACTATGGAAATAAGCGTAACGGCTACAACACATGCAAATTGCTACTGGCATTTTAATGTTAAATTATTACAAGACAGTGTTTTTTGTGATAAATTTGCACTTTTTTGGTGTAAGTGGAAAGCTCAGAAGCACTCTTTTGAAAACTTGAGTGAGTGGTGGGATGTAGGGAAGGTACAGATTAGACTTTTCTGCCAAAGTTACTCAGCACATACTGCCTCATCAGCACACTCTGCTGTAAAGAAATTGCAGCAAGACATTGAGAACCTGGAGAAACAAATAATTGGAAACAGCAGAATAGGGCTTCATAGGGAGCTAGCAGAAAAAACGAGAGTTGGGATTCTATCTACAAGAGCAGGTGAAAGGGGCGGCTTTAATACGCGCAAGGATTAGCTCGATTAAGGACATTGATGCACCTAGTGCTTATTTTTTCAATCTAGAAAGAAAGACCTTGACATCCGACCCAGCTAAGATGAGGAGGCTGGCAGTGCAGTATTATGCAGAACTGTATGGTGCTAAGGACTGTGACTCTGACAGTGCTGCAGACCTTCTTCAAGATCTTCCACAGTTGAGTCCAGGTCAGAGGATGAAGCTGGATGCTGATATTATGTTTGAAGAACTTACAGCAGCGGTGAAGCAACTGTCTGCTGGTCGATCCCCGGGGGTGGATGGATTACCAGCTGAATTTTATCAACATTTTTTGACAGATCTGGGACAGGATTTTTATGAGGTGGTACTGGAATGCTTGAAGACTGGTTTGCTCCCTACTAGTTGTCGGAGGTCAGTTTTGTCCCTACTACCGAAGAAGGGAGATCTAGGTCTTTTAAAGAACTGGAGACCTGTTTCACTGCTCTGTGTGGACTATAAAATACTATCAAAGTGTCTGGCTAATAGATTGAAATGTTATTTAGACTCTGTGATCTGTAAAGATCAAACATATTGTGTACCAGAGAGAACAATTATGGATAATTTGTTTTTATTGAGGGATATAATTGATTTGAGTTTAATGAATAATGATAGATTAGAGATTTTATCACTTGATCAAGAAAAAGCTTTTGACAGAGTAGATCATGGTTATCTTTTTAAAACCTTGACAGCTTTTGGATGTGGGGATAAGGTTGTATCTTGGCTTAAGCTTTTATATGCTGACGCATCTGTCATGGTAAAAGTGGGTGGGGCTTTGAGTGTGAAGGTGCCAGTACAGAGAGGTATACGGGAATGGTTTATTTCAACAGAAAAACTGTGAGGGTATGGAGGAGAAAGTATCGGCCCGGTTGTCTAAATGGAATTGGCTATTACCACGGTTGTCGTACAGGGAGAGAGTGCTGGTGGTGAATAACTTGGCTGCCTCTACGTTGTGGCATAGGATGATGGTTTTAGAGCCTCCTGAGGAGCTGATTGGTAGGCTACAGAAGAAAGCGGTAGATTTCTTTTGGAGTGGACAACATTGGACTCGGGCAGCTGTGCTTTTTCTGCCGGTGGAGGAAGGAGGACAAGGCCTGGTGGATATACAGAGCCAAGTGAGGGCCTTTCGGCTGCAATCAGCAAAAAGACTGCTTTACCAGAGAGATCTACCGTGGACTCAGACAGCCAGTAAAATCCTGCAAAGGGCAGGGAGGGATATGACCTTCAGCTGTTCTGGATGAGACTGGCTGAAGTCAGTCTGTCTGGTCTCACTCCTTTTTATCAGTCTCTTCTCCTGGTCTGGAAGATGGTTTTTGAGGTCTCCAGAGATGTTCAAAGTTCGACAGAGTGGATACTGGAAGAACCATTACTGCATAACCCATTGATACAGACCAGACTTCTGTCCTCAGCTAGCGTGAGAGCATTCCTCTTGAGAAAGGGGTGCACAAAGCTGGGGCACTGCATGGCCATCAATGGGTGGAAGTCACCCGTAGAACTCGGGGAGGTGACTGGACTACAGTCATACAGAGTGGTCGCTAGACTGCTGGAAGAGGTAAAATCAGCCCTTCCTGGGTGTTATAGAGAACTGATGGCAGAGGGATACAGAGACAGCAAGCAAGAGGACTTTCTGCTCCCGGCATGGAGGTTACATTGGCGATTCGGGTGGATCCAGGGGAGGAGAGAGTCCCACCAGGAACGTTGTTTTACATTCCGGATTTGGGACAGTTTGGCGCGCTCTCAAGGAAGGCTCTGTACCATGCCTGTGTCAAAGTTGCACACCAGACTGATCTGCAGCATCAGAGAGTGGTAAGGTGGCTGGAGTTGTTCGGGCCAGACTTCCTCCTGAGGGACAGGTGGAGGTCCCTGTATAAACCCCCTATAGAGAAGCGTTCAGCCGATCTACAGTGGAGGATTATTCACGGGGCAATAGCTACAGACAGACACGTGGGCCACCTGAATCCATTAGTGGGGGGGCAGTGTAGATTTTGTGGTCAGGATGAAACGATTGAGCATCTGTTTCTGCGCTGTGATAGGTTGAGAGGTTTGTTTTTGTTTTTAAAAGTTTGTTTTGATGCTTTCAGTGAGGAATTCGCTGGTAGATTTTTTATTGCTGGGGTGAAGTACACGACTAGCAAGCGGAAGAAAATGTGTCTTATAAATTATATTGTAGGGACAGCAAAATTAGCTATATGGAAGACGAGGAAGAATAAGGCCACAGGTGCTGGCTGTGTGAATCCTGAGCTGATGTTAAAGTGGCTAATGGCAGGGCGGATTAGAGTGGAATATGAGTATTATAGGCTGGTAGACCAGGTAGAGGTGTTCAGTGATGTGTGGGGACAGAGTGATGTACTGTGCTGTGTTGATGATGATTCTGACCTAGTCTTCAAGTTTTAACTGTGTTTTTAACATCATATATCTGGATGGATCTGTTGTGATAAAGGTGTAATTATATTGATGTAATAAAGTTTTGTTAAATCTCAATCTCTCTCTCTCTCTCTCCCTCTCCCTCTCTCTCGCTCTCTCTCTGTCTCTCCCTCTCCCTCTCTCTCCCTCTCTCTCTCTCTCTCTCTCTCCCTCCCTCCCTCTCTCCCTCCCTCTCTCCCTCCCTCCCTCCCTCCCTCCCTCTCTCTCTCCCTGTCTCTCTCTCTTTCTCCCCTCCCTCCCTCCCCTCCCTCCCTGTCTCTCTCTCTCTCCCCACCCTCCCTCCCTGGGTGGGTGATGTTGTTTTTGTTTGGTGATAATCTGATTGGGTCTGATTTTCTGGGTGAGCATGTGGTCAGGTTACTGTTCACGCAAATTCCTCTGTAATTGTTTGGGTCAAATTTGTCTCCAGATTTAAATATGGGGGTGATGAGCCCCTCATTCCAGACTGTGGGGAAATGGCCTACATTTAAAATAAGATTGAAAAGTTTTAGAATAGCCAATTTGAATTTAGGGTCTGTGTTTTTTAGCATTTCATTTAAAATGCCATCTGTACCACAGGCTTTTCTGGGTTGGAGGCCTCTGAGTTTTTCCTCTAATTCTTCTATTCTGATGGAGAAGTCCAGTGGATTTTGATAATCCTTAACTGTTTTATCAAGAATTTCTAATTTTCCACATATTTTTTGTTGCTCTATATTTACCGATGGTGTTCTAATAATATAATTAATTTCTGTCTCTCTCTCTCTCCTCCCTCTCTCTCTCTCTCTCTCTCTCTCTCTCTCTCTCTCTCTCTCTCTCTCTCTCTCTCTCTCTCTCCATCTCTCTCCCCCTTCCTCTCCCTCTCTCTCTCTCCCTCCCTCCCTCCCTCCTTATCTCTGTCTCTATCTCTCTCTCCCCCTCTCCCTCCCTCTCTCTGTCTCTCTCTCTCTCTCTCTCTCTCTCTCTCTCTCTCTCTCTCTCTCTCTCTCTCTCTCTCTCCCGCCCCCGCCCCCGTCCTCCCTGTCTCTCTCTCTCCCTCCCCCCCACCCTCCCTCTCTCTCTGTCCCCCTCCCTCTGTCCCCCTCCCTCCCTCTCTCTATCCCTCTCTCTCTCTAGCTCTGATTTTTACAGGCATTGTTGTAGAGTTGAACCGGAAGGCAGGTAAGCATATGCTTTACTAAATGTGGGTGAGATTATAAATAGCTGGCAGATGCTGAACATGCTGTATGAATGTGACCCCTGTATGTGAGTCCCAGTGGTTTTCATTCTTGGTCTTAGGGGCTGCGTTGTTTGTCTTTTTATAATCTAACACAATTCAGCTCATCAGTTAATTATCAAGCCCTTTATAGTTTAACACACTCGTTAAGCTATGAAGGAATACAGTCAGTAGGATAAACCGACTGCTAAAACATTTGAGAGTAAAAAAAATAAATGAGAAGTGGGCTCCTGAGTGGCTTAACCTTTGACCTTACCATTAGGAGATCTCAAGTTTGACCCTGCCAACAGAATTGGCAGTCAGTGTTCTCAAGTTTGAAAAGATGAGGTGGCACTTCATATGTGTCAGAGGAAGCACATACTAGCCTTCACTCTCGTGTGACAAGAGGAGACCCAGCTAACAGATGGAGTTGGACACAACTAAATTGGGGAGAAAAGTGGGTAAAAAGTAAATAAATAAGAAGAAGAAATAAATGAGATTAGAAAAAATCACAAAAAATACGAGTCACCTGATTAAAAGTATGAAAACTGATACTATACCACATTTGTGACCGCAAGTGTCAGTGAGAGTAAGTGTATAATATTGTGTGTTATGCTGTGTGTGTGTGTGTGTGTGTGTGTGTGTTTTTCACTCTGTGTATGTTGAGCTATGTGGCGGTGAGTGTGCAATTGTATTTGTGTATGTTGGGTTAGACATTAACTCACCTGTGTTGTTTTTCTTAACAGAAGTTTCAAGTGCAATTTTCTTTGTCTCTGGATTTCTTCTCTTCATTCCTGGTGGTATGTTAAATTGTCTTTTGACACTTCATAAAACTTTTTGGTACCCCTGGAGTTAAAAGTGAATATTTGTACCCTTAAAGTTTTACTGCTTATATCTTAAGGGGATACTTCAGCATTTTTCGACCGAATCTCTATCTGCCATTGATTATGGACATCAATTTTGATAGCTTTCTCTTCACCTAGTAAAGAAACAAAAAAGGAAGTTGACTCAAAATGCGCAAACAACACTGGGCAGGTGCTGATCCGACTGCCCACCAGTGTGTTTTGACCATACAGTACTATTTCAAGAATATTTTCACTGTGGTAATTGACAGATGCAGCAAGTACACATTAGGTTGAAAAATACTCCTTGTGTTTTTAATAAGAATGTTCTTTTTTTTTTTCTCTCTCTCTCTTTCAGTTTACCATGTGATCTATATAAGCTGTGCTGTCAGGGGACGGAGAGGATTCAAGTTCTTTTATTTGCCTTATTTTGAGAAGTAATGTGTCTCTTCATTTTTAATCAGGGAGAATGGCTGTTTGACCTTTTTTTTGTTTTAGGTTGAGAAATGCAGAAATGATATGATGAAGTAAGGAAAGCTTTATTTGTACAATCTCAATTTTAAGGTAGTTTTGTAGCCTGTATGGTTCGGGAAATGTTGTGAAAGCAAGTTCTTTTGAACTTTATCAATGATGCCTGTAAACGTCCATGAATTTCAGGATAGAATTGTGTATCCTTTCAGCTTTACTTTGCACGCAATGGATCGTAAGTCTGCAGGACAGTGTTGAGGATTTATTCATTTCAGTTCATTCATTTTCCTGTCAGCCATGCAACTGAGGAGAGTTCTACTCAGCTTTTTTTTTTTTATTAATTTTAAGCAGATTTTTTCACCTTATTCACCAATATAATGAAATTTACTTACTTAATTGACTCTCAATTGAATTGAATGCATTTTTGTGTATGGTGTAGTTCAGAAGGGAAGAATAGAGAAAAAAGTCATCTCAGAAAAATACTATAACATGAAAAGATGGGGAAGAAATCTCAGTTTTGAGGTCACACAACTGTGTAAATTTGAAGTTAGCAGCCTGTTGTGCATGTGCACACGTGGTAAAAATTGTGACCGCGTCATTATTCTTGATGCCGAATCATAGATGAAGTGTCAACCAAAATAACTTGTCCCTGCACTGTTTTCTTTAACTAATACCACTACTAACACATTCAACCACTGTAAAACTCAGTGTACTTCCAGCAAGTCAATATAGAAGAAATATTTTTGTGTTTTGTACTTCTTTTAATCAGTGACACTACAATAAAACTGTTTTTATATTTTGCTTTTAAATTTGCTGTCATTGTCTTATGATGTTATGATTTTATGTTGATTTTATGACCATGCCATAAATTGGTTAATGTCCTTATTCTGTTGCTGAGTCATGTGACTTTTAGCTTACCATTCACTACCCAGTCCATATATGGATACTAAGCTGCAAAAAGTCTGTTTTGAATGGTTTCTGAAATGTCATGACAACCCACTCATTTACATAATCAACCTATTCAACCTATAGCAGTCTAGCTCCACCCATTCACGCTGAAGTTCTTTAGAGTGGCTCAGCTCTGAGTGCTTTTTGAATGAGGCACAATGCAGGGCAGCCAATCAGACCTGAGATCATTTATCTTAGATCATTCAAGAGAGCTTGGAAAAGGGTCATGTAGAAAATGGATATAATTCATTTCTAGTGCTGGTTTATCCAGTCACCCAGCAGGGTCATGTTGATTGACCACCAAACCAACATCTAAAACACAACTAGTAAAATGCTGGCTCTGGTATTTATCAGCACATCAGCTTACATTGCTGTTGGCCAGTATTCCATCTTCCAAAACACAATCAGCCTAGCTTCCATTGCTGCTGGACAGCATCCAAAACACATTTAACGTTGATCTGTGCTAGTTTTTCTAGCAGGGTTGACGAACTAAAACAATTATGAAATGTACATTTGATACCCTGTAACAGAAAAGGATGTTGCAAGCATGAGATGTAAAATGAATCCACACATCGATGCATAAAATGTTTGCAGTGTTTTAATGATTAAATATGAAAGTTATGGTTGTGATAGTGGGCAGAAACAACCAAGAAGGCTGTTTTCTGTGCTGTAGATAGTTTTTTAAAAATGTTTTAGGTTTTTATCTAAAACGTACATAGGTTATTGTAAAGAATACTTTACAAACAATACTGTGTAAAGTATCTTTTGCCTTTACATACAAAAGCCTATTTGTAATATCAGTAAAACCCAAATGGCACTCCAATTGTGGAATCACTTCATTACAAGGCTACGATGCCCACTACAGAATGACAACACAAACGTCTATGGAAGGTTATGTGAGCTAAGAAGCCTGTGCTAAACTACATGCCTTAATCATCACACTCCGTAGACCATGTTGAATTTAAGTGATCTCAAATAGACTTGCTTGTAAAGCTTTTTCATTTCAAATGCCAATAAAAAAAGTCTAAGCTAGAATTGGAAAATGTGTATGAGCTGTTATCAATTTTGAACTGAAGTTTTCTTTAAAAGTGTTTTACTATATTTGTATTTATTGTAATGTTATATATTGTATTTTACAAGCAAAAACATACTGTCCAGATAAAGTTTTAACCTTGCCTAAGACTGTATAGTATCTGTGGTATAAATCAGATGCCATCAGGCCCATTTGAGAACTCCTTTCCACATTTTATTAGTTTTATGACCAGTCAAATGACTTTGTTGTGGATTATCTGCAACCACTACATTTTACACATGGGAAGCTGTGCTAGCTCTTGATTCAACTCCCTCAGCTATTTCTCAGGCTAAAGAGCTTAATCAGATAGAACAGTGAAAGAGAAACTCTAAACTCGCACTCAAATAACTGTAGGACTGCAAATACTGACATAAAAGAATTTAACATATAGCTCCATAAAATGCATAATGTACCTGTAATAAGGTTATAAGCTTCTAAAAATTCTAAAACGTTTCAAAATAACATTTCTTGCACTGAAAAGCTGATTGCCTGGCACAGACCACTTTCACTTTGTTCTGCTTTCTTCTAAGCTTTAAAATGAGATATTTTTAATTGCAGCTACTGTTACAGGATTGGATCAGATTCATTCTTCTCTCCCCTCCGATATTGCATTTAGCATTTTCTGTTATTGGATCGGTGCCACCTCTTCAAGCTTATGTGGTTTCTAACACTGTGCAACAGGTGACGGACAAAATTCTAGCTTCAAGATGGCTGTCATCCATTTTAGTTATGCTGGTGTACGGTTGTCCATTTTTACAGATAATATTGTGTCATTTGGTGTCAGAAACCAAACTATTCCTTTAGAAACACATAAAAGGACATGTAAACAACTTAGACTAGATTTTTATTTTTCAATGTTATAATTTACATTTGCATTTAACAATGTTATATGCTTGTTTTTTGCTTGTTTCTGTCAAAGTCTTCAAATTCATATGTACATGCAGAAAAGCATATACATATAAACACACATCCTTTAAAACAGGCTCATTTAAATACATGTACATATACCCCCAGGTACAACCTTAGAAAAAAAATCCTCTTTAATCTTGTGTGAAAAGGTGTGGTAGAGGGCAGGGAAACCTGAGCACACATGAACACATACCCAGCTTATTCTGGTAAATCTCCCTAAACTCATTGGTTACAGTTTTTTGGATCTACTATGATGGTCAAAAACCAAAAGAAACCTAAAACTGTGATAGGCATCTCCAGTCCTGAGTGGCCACAGCATTGCCCCTTGCAATACTGACTGGCTGCAACATGCAAATAAACCAAACACAGTGTTTTTTTTGCTGAACGCATCCTGACAAATCACAGTTCCAGAAAAAGTTGTGGATGTTTGAATGTTTGTATAAATCAAGGTGTTTGTGGTATCCAATAAATGTAAATAATGCAGGTCAGTATTTAACCATTATTGCTTCACCAGTGTGTTTTTATATACTGCAGTGCATATCAATATTTCATATTACAATGGCTGTATATGGCAGTGTAATTGCTATAGTAGTCACTATAGTAGTATTTTACCCTCATTCACTCAAGCAGCGCTGCAGCCCTCCAGGAGCAGAGCCTGATACCTATTACATATCGGCACGGTTTGATTTCATTACAAATGCCTAGGATTACCCGCACATAAAATTCATTCAGTAATAATCATTCAATCCCAAACACAAGCACTACTGTACAAAACCAGTAAATTATAATGTTCAGTTCTGTGTAAAGTCTTAGACCACCTGTGAAAATGAGCATATCATCGCTATCAGAAACAAAACCTTGTATCTTAAAATAATAAAGAAAAAACATTCCTAACTTCTAATGGAAGCTGATGTATCAAGATTTTTTTGAGGTCATTTTGGACCATTTCTACTGATCCAATCATCATTAAATTGTAACACAATGCAAAAGGTAACTAGAGTTCTCAAAATTTTCTCAAAAAAAGACAAAATGGAGACAAGTCTCTAAGTAAGTCTCTAAGTAAGTAATTATATAATACATTGTGATTCGATGTTAACCATTTCCTGACGCTCCTTGAGGAACCTCAGTATTTACAGTTACCATTCAACACCTTGTTTTTCTAACCAATCCTTCATTAAATTAACCAAGATAACAATAACTTAAAAGACATTGTTAGGTTTTACTATATTTGTATTTAATGTATTTTAAAAGAAAAAACATACTGCCCAGATAAATTTTTGAAAATTTTCACAGCTGCCCAAGACTCTTCCACAGTACAGTATCTGTGGTATGAATCAGATGCAAATAGGCCCAGTTGAGAACTCCATTCCACATTTTGTTAGTTTTATGACCAGTCAAATGACTCTTTTTTTTCCCACTGGAAGCCACACTAGCATCTACAAGTTTTTCCCACCTCTACCACACTTGATTCAACTCACTCAGCCATTTCTCAGGCTTTTTATGAGCTTAATCAGATAGAACTCGCACTCAAATAACTGTAGGACTATAAATTCTAACATTAAAGAACATATCTCCGTAAAACCGCATAATGTACCTATAATAAGGTTATAAGCTTCTAAAAAGGTTTCATAATACCATTTCTAGCACTGAAAAGCTAACTGATTGTCTGGTACAGACCATTCTAAATCTTAGGAGCTTTCACTTTGCTCTGCTTTATGTACTCACTCCCCCAATAATGAACCATGTAACATCACTTCAGCCTTTGTTAAGATTGTGACTGGTATTTGCACATTTACTCCTTTAAATAAGGAGTGTTGTATTATTAATGGTCCTGTTAGTTTTTTTACTTTTTTGGGTCGTCAAACGTGGTTTTGTTCTATTATCTGCAATCATTAGTTTGTTTATCCATCACAGCTTGTTGTATTAATTTCCTAAAGGGCCCATATCTTGCTTTTTTGTGTGGGTGTATAAGGGTTTATGTACCAAAAACAGCCATAATTAATTATTTCATGACCATTTCCAACCTCTCTCCATAATTAAATTTTCGTTACTATGTTTTTAAGACAGGTGATAGTCACCTCTGGTCAAATTACATTCCCTCTATAGGGAACAAAGAAATATTTTTTTGAAAGTTTTAATAATAATTCCTATATATTTGCTAAATTTAACATACTGGGGGAAAAAATGATACAAAATGTGCAAGAACTATTGCACAGGCCATATTTTATGTTTTTTCCTAACGCATTTATCTAATAAACAGAAATTATGCATTTCTCTGTAAAGGATGTGTACATATTTTCACTTCAAAAAAATCAACAATATCATGTAATTTCACCAGGGGCACCCAAACCTTTGCATATGATTATACATAATTGAGCTCTGTTAAAATTGGCTGCCCTGTATTGTATTTGTTTTAGAAAAGCAGTCCAGGCTGAAACACTCCATATAACTTCAATGTGAGTGGGTGGGGTTAAAATGCTATAGGCTGATTAGGGAGATATGTAAATGGATTTTCATGACATTATAATAAAACAAAACTCAAAACAGGCTGTTTTGCCACTTTGTTTCCATGTATAGACTGTGGACTGAGGAGCGAAAAAAGTATGTTTTCAAGTTGTATTAATATTAACAAAGTAATTTAAATATTCATGTTTTGGGACCCTTTAATTACACCTGGAAAAACAGCTTCCCAATTAGCTAAAGCCAGAGTGAATCCATCAAGCAAAACAAAACCAAAGCTGGCAAGATTCAGGAGGTTTTTTCTTTCCCACGCTACTATGTAATGTTAAACCGTTATGAGTGACCGTTTTGCTGCAATAACAAACTGCACCGTAAGTGGTAGGGTTACCCACCGTCAATGTACAAGTCACTTCACTTTGAAAGAAATGTGTGTCATGGCTAAAGAACTCAGGCAGCTAAGCAGTGGGTGGATGGGCTGTCATGTACTGATAATTAATGCTAATGTGAAGTGCAAAGATAAGGATCAGTTTCTGAGGTAATTTTACACATTTCTGAAAAACGTTCTGATAATATGAGGTATTTTTTCCGCTCAGGCCATACAAAACTAAATATTTCAGCTTAATTTGTTTCCCAAAAAAGAAAAAAAAAGTAATCAAGAACACAATAATGGCTCTCAGCCAGTTTCAGTATCATGTTAACAGATGAAATGCTTCTATTTATATGAATAAAAAAAATCTCCCAAATAAATCAGCTACTCTGAACCATGTTTTCCGTTGTCAGTAGCAGCTTGTTGTGGCTGCTAACTTTCTGTTAAAAACAAAAACAAACAAAAAACAAAAACAGACAAAAAATGTCAAGTATTCAACTCTGCATGGCCTTAAAGCGATAGTTCTGAAAAAAAAAAAAAAATCAAAATGTGCTCTATTCCCCCTTGCCCTGAATGTACTTGATTAGCCAAGATATTTGATGTCACTTTTGCTTTGCACTGAAGCTACATTTAGCACTTTGATTAGCCTCGTAGCTCCAGTGCCAAACTAAAGAAGTAAATTTCAGACACCAACCATGTCTTGGCTGAACGACTACATTTGGGGTAATGAGGGAAAGTATTTAATTTTTTCACAGAACAATTCCTTTAAACCTGTGCTTCTTACATTCATTTTAAAATGTACACTCTATAAGCAGGACTGAGCATTAAAAGAGCTCAGCTCAGGATAGAACACCTTTAAATTCTCCTCCAGGCTGGTGGTGGTGGTGGTAATGGAGGGGCATGGTTGGGAAGGGAATCATTCATGCTGATGGGTAGCATTAGGGCTCTGAGGAATTCTTCTACTGTCTCTTTCCTGCTGTGGAGGACAGGTCCATAGCCTGCATAATCACACTAGCGCGCGAAGGCATGCTGCTACTTAAATCTATCGCTGGTGCCGGCTTGAAGGGGAAAGAGGAGAGGAAAGGACGCCACGGTGGCTCATCATATGCGATGAGCGGAGACTCCTCTCTGCAGCTTGTCACCCAAAAGTTCGTCTTTCCAGATGTGATAAAAGACTCAGTTCTGTCTGGCAGGCTGGAGGGAATCCTCAACACGGACAAAGATGACCTTACAGAGGAGGAGGAGCTTGTGGACAAATCCTGAACATGGACAATCTGCAGAAAGCAGGAGAAAGTGAAGTAATATGTAAATTTCCTGAAATGGCCCCTTTCTTAAGCATCATTCAGTATATTACAAAATAAACGGAGATGCTTAACCCCTGAAATGGCCAGGAGATGCTGGCAGGTCCAGGCTTCTATTCCTCACTCCTATAATTTTCAGGCAGTTTGCACTGTTTTATGATAAATAATAAACTTCAGGGTGCAGTAAACCTGGGAATTTGAAGGGTTAAAAACTCTAACACATGTTAAAATCATTTCACCAGAGGTATTATATTTATAGACTTTTTAACTGAGCCTCTCATACTTCTTTGTAACACCAAAAAATAAACTACAATGTAAGGAGGACTTTATGTCTTGGCTATAGATTTTTGAATATGCCAAATGTTTTAGCACAAAACACAGAAAATATATTATTAGTCATAACTCAACATGACAAACATACAAAACAAATGCTAAATATAAGGAGTTCATGCAATTTATGAAGCATATTATTGTCAAAATGTCAATTTTGTCCATGTCTGGTTTTTGAAACGCATTAAAGATGTCCATTGAAACTGCAAAGTAGAAATGTTAAATATTTTTTTAAATATTGTTGTTCATTAGTCATTCATATAATTTGTTTTTAGACAAATATGTCTATCCCACATTTGTGTGTTCTCACATCATCACTGACTAAATGGCCAAAAATAACAGTAAATATATGTTGTCTTGGTGTGTGTTTTTCTGGAACCACAGACATACTTTTTTTATAGAAATATTAATTGTATACAGTTAGCAGAATTGAAATTTGAATCAGTATCATCATTGGGTTTTATACCACAGTACATAATTAAAGTCAACATGAAGTCATAGCGCATTCTCCTGTCATACTAATTCTCCTCTCTACAAGTTCTCTGGCTAAACTACTACGTTCATTGGTCTCTACAGATCGCTGAAGTCAAGTTGTCATTCTGTATATGGCACCGTGCTCTTTCGCCCATTTAAGCAATTCCGGGTCTAAAAGGAATTTCATTATGAGAACAGAGTTTTCGAAAATTGCCTCTGTCGGATCCTGTGGTAATTAAAAATGTTCCAAAGCTGATACGCTTTGTCCTATGAACATTCTTCTTTCTAATATCACTGGATCCTCTGAATTCCGAGGTCATTAAAGAGTCTAAACATGAATATTGCTACATGTAAGATAATGCTACTGCGCACTGAGTTAACGTCATTATACCTCCTTAAAAAACATGCTTTGCCAGTGTCGTAGCCCAACAAGCTTACCTGCACTACACTGCTCAACATGACTAGACTGAAGGGGTTTTCATCTCTTTTAACAGGCTGACAAACCGCAAAGCGATACAACAGTAGCTTGTGCTTTAACAATTGGGGGTCCAACAGAGCATGCACATATTGTTCGAATTTTCCCGTTCCACCCTAAATGATGCAGCAGTTACATTTTGGCACCCGAGAAGTTATAATAGGCTATGTTCATACTACAAACCTCATTGCTCAAATTTTTTTGTTCAGATCTGATCTCACTAACATAATGGTTCACCTCCGTGTAGGTAAGTCACTCCAATCTGTCACTGGCTGCGTTTGTTTTCAACTTGGCCTGAGTTTGGCTGACTTGATGGTCAACATGAACTGCCAATGACTTCAGGGGTAGGGTATAAAAAGACTGCCATCACGTCTGACACATTTACCTTCCTCTAGCATGAGCCCACAACAGTGGCTGATCTTGTGGCGCTTACCTTTTTTGGTGCAGACGAAATGGAAGCACTATAGTTTACATCAGACTTTTGGCACACCATCAAAATCCAAGTATTGTATTGTGAGAACATCTAGAGCAGAGGTCACTAATAGGCGGACCGCGGTCCGAGTCTGGACCCAGATGCTGTCCTATGTGGACCTGGACCTATAACCGATAAACTATGGAGAATTATTTAATTTCGACAGGGTGGACCTATTTTAATCGGCGTACCTTTTCTAACCTTTACGGTACCGCTTTAGCGGCCCAGGAAACTCACAGACCAATCGCATGCATTGTAAATATCACACGTGATGCCACTCAGCCAATCAGATCTGTGCATTACGATGAGCACTGAGACTCGAGTGAGTGACGCACACACAGGGGAAGGACGAGGAGAGAAATAGCAGTCAGGGAAGAAAGTGACCCAGAGGGAAGTTATTTCACATGGCGTGCTCTAAAAAGAGAAAACTGACGATATATATTGTTGAAATATGACTGAATTGTACTTTATTTGATTTGACATTCAGTTGTTGACTACATCATGATGTTGATAGAACTACTAGGCTACTTCAGTATACAGTATATGGCACTGAATCATAATGCAAGTTAGACATTATGATGTTCCGGACCTTTGCTTAAGGAAATTTTCTGTAACTGTAATTTTAATTAAAGACCCCTGATCTAGAGTGATGGGTTAAGGCGTATGGGGGAAAAAGTCACATACCTGCTAGAATTAAACTTCAGGCATTTTATGCAACTGAGCACAGATATTTTAGTATTAAGCATACACACCTCCATGCAGTCTTCTTCACTGTGTGTGCTTTCATCACCACTTTCTGCTGAAATTAAGAGCACAGAATTCAGTTTGAAATGTTTATTTATAGTAAATTAATTTATCCATTTGTAACAGTGCGTCATACAAAGTAAAAAAACACATAAGCCAGCCAATTTGAGATTACTGAACAACTCAACACAGTTCGAGGTGAGAGTGTGATGATTTAGGCATGCAGTTAGCACTATGCTCACTGGTGGGGTATAAACTCCATTACATGTTAGCTATATTAGCCTCATTCCTCCAGTGCAAAACTAAAGAAGCAAACATGTGTTGACTGATCAACTACATTTGGAGTAAGGGGAGAAAATATAAATCTGATTTTTAGCATGACTATCATTTTAACCACCCTGGACTTATGTCGGATAATCTTTGAATAGAAGACATGAAGTGAGAGTGTATAAATGGAACATACCATTACATGCGGAGATAGGGGAGACCTGTAGGGGAAAAGAGAACTGAGTGGAGCTGACCGCAGACTCCTCGTTCTCTGTAGTGATCTCAACAACAGCACACACGTCTGGGGGATCACTGCCCACCAGCTTGTTAGGTGTACTAGAATTACAGGGTTGATCAGGTTCTGCTGTGGAGAAGCAAGTATACCACATAAACACGATCATTACAATTACTACATTTTAGCTGACGACTAATTGCCATAGAAATAACTGGTATTTTGTCTTTTTTGTATTCATTCATTCAAATACAACCCTAAAGTGGCCAAACTGGTTGATTAGTTATCTTGCTTCCTAGCTGTAGGTACTAGTAGCTCCCAGCTAAATACAGATGCAGCTCAAGCTCAAATAAACAAATATTACTTACCAATGCCCCCTAGAAGAGTTATACCACTACAATGACAACCACAAAAAATGAGTTTCAATTTTTGCACATAAGGCAGTGAGAAATTAGCTTTGTAAATTTGTTTTGAATATGATGGATTTCTCACTTACGCCCATGACAAGTGTAAAAAACCCTGGAGTCAGCTTTGACCTCTCATTTGATGCACACATTAGGTATATCATTAGTATCATTCTTTCATTATGTAATAATGCCAAGAAGCAATATTTACTTTCCTTAAAAGATGGTGAAAAGCCGATACATGCCTTTATAACATCAGAACTGGACTACTATAATGCTGTAATGCCTTTCTAGCTGGAAATCCTTAAACAAGCCCCAACTGATCCAGAATGCAGCAGCTTGAGTGCTCACTAGAACCAGAAAATTTGATCATATTACTCGTTTCTGGCTGGGTGCACTGATTATACAATACTTCTCCTGCCATATTAAGCGCTAAATGGTCTGTCCACACAGCACTGTAGTGATCTTATTGATTCCTCTAAATCATCACATACAACACTTTGTATGCTTGTGTAATCATATATGTTTAGTCACAACAAACAAAATGGGCATGTTTTCATCAGTTGGACTGAGGCACATGCATGCAAATTAAAGAAAGCATAAAACTCCTTTGGTGGAGGAATGTCTGTTTATTTGAAGTCTGTTAATAACATCGTTAGAGGGCAGCAGTAATTATAAAATTCTTCTCCTGCCATATAAAGCTCTAAATGGTCTGGGCACACAGCACTGTAGTGAACATTGATTCCTATAACCCAGGGGTGTCCAGTCTTATTCGCAAAGGGCCGGTGTGGCTGCAGGATTTCATTGCAACAAAGCAGGAGCACACATGATCAGTTGTTTAAAGACTGAGACTGACTAAATAAACGAGTGGAATCAGGTGTGCTCTTTTTTCTTTGGGGTGAAAACCTGCACCCACACTGGCCCTTTGCAGATAAAATTGGACACCCCTGCTATAACCCATCACATTCACTTTGTTCACATGTTTGTAAATAACACCTTTAGAGGGTAGCAATGAGTAATGTTTGTTTATTTGAGATTTATTAATACCTTTAGAGGGCAGTGTTGAGAATAGTTATTAATTTGAGGTTTGTTAACACCTTTACAGGGCAGTGGTGAGTAAAGTTTTTCTATATCAGATCTGTTAACACCTTTGGCAGGTGGTAATGTTTGTTTATTGGATGTTTACTAATTACAACTTTAAATAGCAGCAGTGAGTAAGATTTATTTGAAGTTTGTTAACACCTTAAGAGGGCAGCAGTGAGTAATGTTTGTACTTTGGAACAAAAGCAAAAAAAGGCTGACCTTTTAACAGTGTGACTGTGATATAACCCAAAAACCTCACCTGCCAATAAAACTGTGCTGTCTGGTAGCGTGTCTTCCTTCAACTGCACTGGATCAGACTCTGGCTCAGCGTTCTTACTTTTCCGTCTCTGATGATAGTCATTTAAAATGAAAAGCAAAAAAGTAAGTGCACAGAACCTTTCAATCATCTGTAATCCATTATGTTAGAGTAGAGTTAGGTTTCCTTACTCTCATTTTTGGCTCCCGTTCCATCTTTTTCTTCACTGAGAGATCAGCAGCATTATTAAAAAAAAAAAAAACATTAAAAATGGTCATGGTAAATTAATTTAAGATAAAAGCAAGATGCCAATCAGCTCCTTGTTACTACACAGTTTATGCAGTTACTATCAGGGATGCACTGATACCAACACTGGTATCAGTTATCGGGCCAATACTGTATTCATTTACTCATGCTCGTACCCATAAAAATTCATACCACCTGATAGCATGTGACAAGCAGAGTGAACACCGCCACGCTAATAAACAAACACCTCAAGCAAGCAGTGAAAGATGTTCTGCTCACACAGAGAAGTGTTACTGACTCTGTGACAGTCAGATACAAAGCCACTGGTCACACTCCACCTTGGCAAATTCCCACCAGACCTACACTGTGATTTTAGACTGTTTTAAAAATTCACAATCACTTCCCCAATATGAGTGGAGACACGTAGGCCAGCTAAACAGAGGTGGAAAAGTTGTCATTTTCTACCAAAGTCCCTCTATGCCAACCTTACTCTGTTTGACTGTACAGAATATTCATTCACTCATCATCTTAAACTGTTTGATCCAGATAGGGTCGCAGATGCAATAGGGAAAGCCCAAATGACCGTGTCCCCCAGAACTTCCTCCAGCTCATTCTGGGAGATGCTGAGCCACTCCCAGGATGACTTGGAGATGTAATCTCTCCAGCGGGTCCTCTGACAACCACAGGGTCTCATACCAGTCGGCTGTGCCCGGTAAACCAACAACGGGAGGTGGACAGGGGGCATCCTAATCAGATGCCCGTACCAACCGTATCAACTGGCTCCTCTCAACAGGGAGGAGTAGCGGTTCTGCTTTGAGCTCCTCCCAGATGACTAAGCTCCTCACCCTATCAAGTAGAGTATAGCCTGCCACCCTGCAAAGAAAATTTCCACTGCTTGTATCTGCAATCTCATTCTTTCAGTCATTACCCAAAGCTCATGACCACAGGTGAAGGTGGGGATGTAGACTGACTGGTAAACAGAGAGCTTTGCCTTATGGCTCAGCTCCCCCTTCCCAACTACAGTCCAGTACAGCGACAATCTCATGATCCCTCTTCCCATCACTCATGAACAAGAACCCAAGATACTTTAAACTGTTCCAGGTCCTCTCCCCTTAACTGGAGGGGGCATGCCATCCTTTTCTGGGCAAGGAACTTGGGGGTTCTGATCCACATGCCAACTACTCCAGTGCATGCTGGAGGCATCCATGCGATGGAGCCGAAAGGACAAAATCATCTGCAAAAAGCAGAGACATCACCTTCCGGCCTCCACACATAATGCCCTCCTGACCTTGGCTATGCCTTGACACCCTGTCCTTGAATATCATGAACAGGAATGGAGACAAGGCACACCTTTGGTGGAGTCCAACACCCACATTGAACAAGCTTGACCACACAGGGCTGTGGAAAAAGTATTTGCCCCTTCCCAATTTCTTCTGTTTTTTGCGTATGTCCCAACCGAACGTATCGGACCATCAAACTACTTTAAATATTAGATAAAAATAACCCAACTAAACATAAAATTCTGTTTTTAAATTATTTAATTTATTGAAGGAAAATGCTCTTTAGCCCTACCTGGCCCTATTTGAAAAAGTAGCTGCCCTCTTAGCTGCTAAATCAACCAGTAAAACAAATTCAATTGACTATTGGGTTCAATTTAACTAGCCACAACCAAGCATGATTACTGCCAGACCTGTTTAATTTAAACATCACTTCAACAGAACCTGTCTGGCAATGTGAAGCAGGCTAGAAGGTCTCAAGAAGTATCACTAGATGCCACGTTCTAAAGCAGGGGTGTAATCTCACAAATTGGATCATTCATGGACCGTTTTTTCGGATAAGAATAAAAAAACAAGTAAGACAAATTTAACTTTGCCTTCCGTTTATTAAAACATAAAGAACATTAAGAAAACCTAAAGCATGGAACTTTTGCCCACAGTCTTAAATGAAAACAAGAAGTTTAATCTTAAAATAAAATCATCAAAATAAAATAATCAATACTCATTTGAAGTGCAGTATGAGGCCTGATGATACCCTTTTTCCAATAGTGAATGAAAAAAATATCAAACATCATCAAACATCTTTAAAAACGTGACATCATTATGAACATTGTGAAAAAAGGTACAAAAAGAAATAAAGCAGTCCTGAGCTTATAACTTCAGATTCTTTTTCAACAAGATGAGTGTGTCTACATTGTCTGGTGAGGGAACGGACCTCTTAGCCGTCACTATGTCCCCTTCCATGGAGAACACCCTCACACTATAGCCAAATCAAAGTTTTTTCAGTTGAATTGAAATTGGCCATTCAATACGAAAATTCGACTATTCGTTCATTTTTTTTCCCGCATATGGATTATCCAAAAGAGTGCCTCTTGTGTGAGACTGGGCTGCTGTTATTGTCATTTCAGCCTATGCACAATTTCTATTAATTATAACACGGATAAAAAATGCTGTTGTAATATTACTTTATATATATATACACACACACGCACACACGCGCACACACACACGCACCAATCAGGCATAACATTATGACCACCTCCTTGTTTCTACGCTCATTGTCCATTTTATCAGCTCCACTTACTATATAGGTGCACTTTGTAGTTCTACAATTACAAACTGTAGTCCATCTGTTTCTCTGCGTACTTTGTTAGCCCCCTTTTACCCTGTTCTTCAGTGGTCAAGACCTCCATGGACCCTCACAGAGCAGGTACTATTTGGGTGGTGGATCATTCTCAGCACTGCAGTAACACTGACGTGGTGGTGGTGTGTTAGTGTGTGTTGTGCTGGTATGAGTGGATCAGACACAGCAGCGCTGCTGGAGTTTTTAAACACTGTGTCTACTCACTGTCCACTCTATTAGACACTCCTACCTTGTCAGTCCACCTTGTAGATGTAAATCAGAGACAATAGCTCATCTGCTGCTGCACAGTTTGTGTTGGTCATCCTCTAGTCCTTCATCAGTGGTCACAGGACACTGCTCACAGGACACTGCTCACAGGACGCTGTTGGCTGGATATTTTTGGTTGGTGGACTATTCTCAGTCCAGCAGTGACACTGAGGTGTTTTAAAACTCCAGCAGCGCTGCTGTGTCTGATCCACTCAGACCAGCGCAACAATTTCTATATTTTTTAATGGTTTTGTTGTTTTATTCATTTTGTTTTTCGGGAATTTGTAGCTTATATTTTTTCCATCATTTATTTTGTGTTTAGGATTTTTTATTATTTTTTTTAATCCATGGCCCGTTACACCACTACTCTAAAGAGATTCAAATATTCAAAAACAGCTGCAAAACAAAGTCACTGAAATCTGCCAGTCTGGAAAGGGTTACAAAGCCATTGCTAAGGCTTTAGGACTCCAGCAAACCACAGTAAAAGCCATTATTCACAAATGGAGAAAACCCGGAACAGTGTTCCAAGCCCTCCCAGGAGTGGCTGGCCTACCAATATTTCACATTTCAAGGGCAAATCAACAACTTATCCACGAGGTCACGAAAGAACCCAGAAAAACATTTTTTTTCTATTTGTATATATGCCTGTAGATAGGATTTTTTATATTTATTCTTCCTGTTATATTGTTTACACCCTTATTACTATTACTGTCCTGTGTTGTGTGACTGCTACTGGCAGCTAAATTTCTCTATATCTATCTATCCATCTATCCATCTATCCATCCATCCATCCATCCATCCATCCAAAGAACCGCAGGCCTCACCTGCCACAGTTAAGATTAATGTACATTATTCCACAATAAGAAAGACACTGGGCAAAAATGGCAGCCACGGGAGATTGGCAAGGCGCAAACCACTGCTGACCAAAAAGAACATAAAGGCTCATTTTGCATTTGCCAAAAAACATATAGATGACCGGCAAAACTTTTGAGATAATATTCTATGAACTGATGAATCAAAGGTGAAACACTGTGGAAGACATGGTTCCTGTTACATCGGACATGAGGCTAACTCTTCCACCATAAGAGTATCACACCAACAGTTAAACATGGTGGAGGTAGTGTGGTGGTTTGGGGCTGCTATGCTTCTGAAGGACCTGAATTACTTGTCATACATGATGGAACTATGAATTCTGCTCTCCATCAGAAAATCCTGAGGGAGAACATACACCTGTCAGTTCGTGAATGAAAGCTCAAGTGCAGTTGGGTTATGCAGCAGGACAATGATCCAAAGCACACAAGTCCACCTCTGAATGGCTCAAAAAAAACAAAATGAAGGTGTTGGAGATGCAGAAGTCAAATCCTGACTTGAATACCAACGGAATGCAGTGGCAAGACCTTAAACAGGCAGTTTATGCTTGAAAACTCTCCAATGTAGCCAAATTAAAACAATTCTGCAAAGAAGAGTGGGCCAGAGTTCCTCCACAGCACTATAAAAGACTGTGCAAGTGCAAGTTATCACAAACGTTTGATGGCAGTTGTTACTGCCCAGGGTGGCACAACCAGTTATTAGGTTTACGGGGGCAATTACTTTTTCACATGGGTGATACAGATTTTTAATAAATCTTTATCTTAAATAAATGGAATGATCATTTAAAAGCTGCATTATGAGTTTACTTGTGTTGCCTTTATCTTATATTAATATTAGCTGGGTGATCTGAAACATTTAAATGTGACAAATAAGCAAAAATAGAAGAAACTGGATAAGGGGCACCAGTCTTCCCTGCCATCTGATCCAACTCACCACTAGATAGTGATCGATTGACAGCTTAGCACCTCTCTTCATGCGAACTTCCAGAACATATTGTCCCAAGTCAACATCCTTGTGTTCGAACTTGGTGTTCATTATGTACTATCCATGACTAGCACAGAAGTCTAATAACAATTTAGGGATTAGATCGGGCAGGCCATTCTTCCCATTAACCCCCTCCAGGTTTCCCAGTTACTAGCAACATGAGCATTAAAATCTCCTAGCACAGCTATGGAGTCTGCAGGTGGGGAGCTTTCCAGTACTTCACCCACTCACTCCAAGTAGGCCGAATACTCCAAACTGGTGTGTGCTTACGCACCAAACAAAACAGTCAGTTCGCATTGAGACAATCCTCTCGTCCACCAGCACAAACTCCAACTGCACGGCATACTTCCAAGTAGGAGTGGGACTAACCTCTATCAAGAAGTTTGGTTCCAGAGTTCCAACTAGTTAACTAGTTCCAGGTTAACTGTTCAGGTACATTGCACTCATTTACAATAACAACTAATTAATTCTAAGTAGGTTACTCAGTATGGTATCGGACTCGTTATCCACGAGTAGTGTACTTGGTCTGAAAAAAGTAGTATCAATGCATCCCTAGTTGCTATACACCGGTTGTTGTTGTTTACAGACGCTCTATATTTGGTCTAAATCTGTCTTTATGGTGCTCCATACAGTTGTTTAGTGTTCTAGGATTACTGATGATTCTCCTCAAATACTCAGAAAAGTAAACTGTGACTTAATTATATCATGATAACAACACATTGTCCTATTATCCGGCCCCCTACTATCTGATAACTGTGATTTAGAAATAAGTAGTCATATTCCCATAACTGACATTTAATTCACTAGAACGAAAAGACTCACTGTTACTCTCCATGTTTTATTTATTACATAAAGCACAGCAGAAGTAGTTGTAAGGTTTACTGTACCTTTTTTAGCAGCTTTTTCAGCAGGAGAAAGCATGCGGTACACTCTGAAGGCATTGCTTCCTCTTTTCATGCTCTTATCTTTTACTTCCTCTATGTCTGGCAAAGAGTTCATGGCACAGCGAAAGTTTGCCTTCCATGTCTTGGGGTCAGGTTTGTCTACTCCAGGATGATATTTTCCTGCAGGAAGAACAACAATTCAGGGTGAGGAAATATTTGCCAGATGAATTTGGAATTTCAAAATTTCTGTGTAATTCACTGGAAAAACAAATTCAGAGTGGTCTGACGTGAAATGGTTCATTATAAAGAAAACCTATTGACTCAGATTTCTTCATAGTGATGGTGATAGGAACCTGGGGTTGCAATGTCTACAATTCAAACATAGCCATTTTACTGACTGTCCAAAAAGATCAATAAGCCTACATGTGTCTTCTATGTTTTTATATGTAATGTTGATGATGACAAAATAGTGGAAAATCTGAAAAAATAAGTTTTGTTTGGGGATTTTTGTCTACCAAGCAGTATTTTGTCTTTCAAAAACATATTTTAGGTCAAAACCTTCTTAAAAATATTGTAAACAATGTATCAGATATGACACGCATGGAACACATTCGAATCCATTTTATATAATAACTCTCTACATGGTACATTTTAGTTTTTTTTTTTCAAATTTTCTCCCCAATTTTGTGATATCCAATTCCACCCACTAGTTAGGACTCCCCGAATCACACAATACGAGGCTGTTATCTTAACATTTTTACATTTTCAAGTAGCTGTTGCATATTATTCGCAAGTGCAACAACCAACTTTTTGGGAGGTCACCCTCATACCTCATCGGACTCGTGAGACACCTGGAAAGGACTCCAACCAGCTGACAAAGCAACATTAGTAACACTATGGCAGAACCGTGTGCTGTTGCTTTGCTCCAAGTGCCACATGTTCAGCTACATTTCTTTCTCTGTCACTGGTGAGACCAGCATTACTAGCTTCGTTTATAAGAAGTGTAAGTTAGTTTCTTGCTTGACGGAAATGATCATACAGTTAGAGCTGGGCATCTGAAAATTACAAAAGAGCAGGGCTACTCAGCAGGGCTCAGACTCACTGTTAGAAGCTCTGGGTGCCCTCATAGCGGGGCAAATGGGTGGAGCCTCATCAGCATAGCAAAGCTAAAGCTACCCAACCTGAGCGCCACTCCTCTCCCATTCATGTGTCCAACTGGTTTGCCCCACTCAGTGAGACACCCTCTGAGACACCTGTTGAAAGACTTCTGGTTATAGGTGATTCTATTTTACAGCACATTAAAATATGGCCTCTTCTTTAGGGGTACCAGTAGCAGCGGTATACTGGGAGCCAGGGCACTGGATATTAGAGGGAACCTGAATGTCCTTTGGTCTAAAACTAGGACTGTTTAAGGTGCTTACACCTAAGGCTGTCATGGTAAATGAATTTATGATCATGATTTTGACACTCTGCGCCTCACAGAAACATGGATTAGACCTGCTAAATGCTTTACTACCCCCACAAGCTACAATTATGTACATAACCCTTGTTTAAGGGGTTAACCCACTCTTTATTGCAAACACACTCTTGCCTTAATTTTGATCTTTGATGTAAACATAAATCATTTGGCCATTCTACCCCAGAGCACAGCTGTCTCAGATCATTACCTAATCTCATAGGAAGTTCACTTAAGTCGTAATGTATGTTACCTCCATGCTATCGTGTTAAGCGGACTATAACATCCTCCACAGCGAGTAGCTTTATCAGAAACCTCCCAGATCTATCAGCTGCTATTAGCTGATTAGTCTGTCTGAACCTACCGAATTAGATATTATGACCGAGTACTTAGAGGATATTTTTTGCTCTCCTCTAGATAATGTGGTTCTGTTAAAAAGTAACATAATGAGGCACAAAAGCTTGCCGCATGGTACAATGATCATACTCACACTTTAAAAAAGACTGTCAGACAATGAGAGCAAAATTGCACTTGACTAAACTAGAAGTATTCCAGTTCACCTGGAGGGATAGCCTTACAGACTATAGAAGGGCACTTACTGCAGCACGCTCAACCTATATCTCCTCTCTGATCGAAAATAAGAAGAATAATTCTAGATTATTCTTTCAGCACGATTAAGAACCAAACAGCTACAGAACCCCAGATTTCATCAGCCTACAGTAGCAATGATTTTATGAATTTCTTCAATAATAAAATTGAAACAATCAGGCAAAAAAGTCAAAAGAGTTAACCTCTGCAAACCTAATCGAGATTTTGAGTATATTGTAACAACTGCAGAGAGGCTGGAATTGTTCACCTTCCAGCCTCTCCTTACAACCTTACTTCAACAAATTGAGCTAGTTAAAATTATTTAGTCAAAACTTTCTACTTGCATATTAGATCCAATTCCTACGAGTTTACTCAAAGGAATTTAGTCAGAAATAACAAAGACTCTTCTGACAATAATAAACTCCTCTCTTAGCCTTGGCTATATACCAAAACCTCCTAAACTAGCATTAATTAAACCTCTATTAAGAAACCTAATATTAATCCCTGCAAGCTGTCAAATTATAGACCTTTCTCAATCTTCCTTTTATATCAAAGATTTTGGAAAAAGCTGTGGCACAACAACTAAGTTCCTATTTGCATAGGAATCGCATACATCAAAAATTTTACTCTGGATTTAGGTCTCATCATAGCACAAAGACAGAACTAGCGAAAACTGTAAACGATCTCTTATTATTCTCTGACCAAGGAAATGTATCTTTGTTGGTTCTGCTTGATCTTACTGCGGCATTCAATACAATAAACCACTCTATCTTACTATCTAACTTACTATTCACAAGCTGAACGCTATCAGTTTGTGAATATAAATGGTAAATCATTTGTTCTTACAAAGGTAAAGTATGGTGTTACACAAGGCTCTGTTTTATGACCTCTACTATTCACATTCTATATGCTACCACTGGATACCATTATCAGTAAACATGTCATCAATTTCCACTGCTACACAGATGACACACAATTGCATATATTGGCCACACCAGATCACAAACTTCAACTTAATAAGATTGAGGACTGTGTAAAAGACTGGATGTCAACTAACTTCCTCTTACTCAGACAAAACAAAGTCTTCTTCTTGGTCTAAAAGCTGCTAGAAACAAACAAACTTAATAGTTTCCCCCTTGTATCAGGTACATCTGTAAAAACCTTGCTGTCATGATCCATCCTGTTCTGTCCTTCGATGCACACATAACCAATAATACTGGAATAACTTTCCTCCATCTTCTCAATATTGCCAATTTAAGAAATCCACTGTCTCTACAGGATGCAGAAAAGCTAGTTCATGCATTTATTACTTCAAGCCTGGATTAATGTAATGCCCTGCTGTCTGAATATTCCAGCAAAAGCCTTAATAAGCTTCAGTTAGTCCTGAAGGCTGCAGCCAGAGTCCTCACAAGAACTAGAAAGTTTGACCATATCAGCCCACAGCCACAAGGTGCTGGCTTACTATCAGTACCTAGAATTAATAAAGTTACATCAGGGGTAGAGCCCACCAGCTTTGGAATAATCTTCCAGTCAGTGTTCAGGACTCAGACACAGCTTCAGTTTTTAAGTTTAGGCTAAACCCTACTTGTTGAGTCAAACTTCTGGTATTCTCACTGGTAGGTTTCTCTCTCACATCAAACCATTCTAAATGACATAACATTTTAAGGATTTGATTACACAGACGTTTTTAAAAAACCATTGGAATTCACCTTTAAAAGCAAATTCTCCCACAGACAAAAGGCACAAAAAGGTGGCGATACCTGTGTGAACTGCCCAGTTCATAAAAAGCGGAGCATCTTTATCCAGATCCCAGCCATGTCTGGCTGCATGCATCCACGGAATCTGGAATATCTTTTCCTCCTGTTTAATGAAGTGAAAGTTTAAGTAAACTCAGTATCTTGTATTAAATCAGTTTTAGATTTGTTGATAAACTGTTGATATGATGATTTGTTGTAGACTGTTGATAAAATAAAAATGTTAATGAAGAACAGGAACAGTAACGATATTATTTGTCATTTTATGACCCTGAATTAGAGCTGCATTATATGTATATGTCTCCTTATTCTTTTCCCATCAAATGAAAACTCCAGCTGTCCTTTGTTATGTTGACCACAATTATTGGTTTCTTTGATCACATGAATTCCTTCCCAGAGAAACTGACTAGGATCATCTAATGCTGTATAAGATGCTCAAAGCACACAATGAAAGTGGTTGTGATTTGTTAAAGGGTTAAGTTGCATATTGCAGTTTCTTGAGATATCAGTTTTGCAAAAGCCAATGTGTGAATAATGACTGACAATTTAATGTGCGTCCCTACGATAAATACAATGAACTTTAGTTATTTAAGAAATACTTGCCTTATTAACCCATTGTAGGCCCTGAATTTTTGCACTGTTGATCTGCTCCTCCAGCCATGGCCTCATCCGCTGCCTGTCCACTGGCATCTTCACCCTGTTTACAAATACAAGATAATACAGTTTTTAGCCTCACTCCAAACGTAGTCAGTCAGTCAAGATATGTCTTAAGTTTGTTTGTTTAGTTTTGTACTGTATAAGCTATAAGGCTGATGTAGCTAACAAGTAACGAAATCTTTTTTTGGTGACCTCTATTAAAAGGGCCCATATCATGTAAATTCCAATTTTCTTCACTTAAAAAATAAAATAAAATAAAATAAAATAGATGTACCGTATAAATGTTTTTAAAGTTTCAAAACATATTCACTCCTCCTCGGTTCACACAGTTCGTATACAGAAACTTTCAGAAAGTTTCAAAAACCAAGCCAGTTTTAAATTCATTTTTTGATGTCACAGAAACTATGCCCATTAAACCTACACAAGTTTACCACTAATGCTGAAGTTATAAGAAGTGTGGAGTTTGTCTATGTTTGATTTTTCTATGAATCCTCAATATGCTATCATCTACATAACATTATTAAGCTACCATCAAAACACACTGAGGTGATGCAGCAATCCAAATCTGAGAGCATCAACTCAATGTAACTTGCTTTCTGCACGTCCTGTATTCTGTGGTGAAACTTCTAAAATATTACAAGTACATAATTTAGCTACAAGACACAGTTTAAAGGGAGATGTGTAAACACAGAGACGTGCTACTTCAACCTGTGAACACTACAGGGCGTTGATATAAGAACATAAGATACGACAATAGTTCAGTTAGTTCTGTGCTGATGTGTGTATGTACAGCTCTGTTTGTGTGGGTTTCGCTGTGTTGTGTTTAGAATGTGGTTGCAGTAGTTTAACGTTACCTAAACGAGTTCGGCTGTGTTGATCCGACGACGTGGTGCACTACTACAGCCCGTCAGAGAAGCAAACAGAAGCTGCTGCCATCGTTACTTTCGGTCTGAACCTGATTAAAGCGATAAAAGTCGCGTGTGTCTGTAAGGTACATGAGTATTTTCCAGTAAAGGGCTGAATGATAAAACGGAAATAGGTGGTGTACGAGCTGTACTGATTCTCTGCAGTGTTTCTATTGGTCCATTTGCGTTTCGAAACCTCCGCTGTGTTCACGCACATCCGCATTTTCTTACTGCTGCGCAGATTTCCCTCTGTGGCGGCGTTCATACATCCAATTACAGGCTGCGTTCGGAAGGACATTTGTGTGTCTGTAAAAGACTGATTTTTCGTTGATTTCAGTAAGAATGACATGTTGATCGAGAGCAGAGACCAGCGCACGGCACTACGCGAAAAAAACGCTCCGTTATCCGTCAAAAAAGTTCACCAGAGCTATATTTTTGATGGGGTATACTCTGATGCATCTAAGCCAATAAGACATAGTGTGGGGTGTGGCTTCAGTCAGTCACGTCTATAAACCACTGTAGCAGAGAACTTGTAGAGACCGGCTCTGACTGTAGTCGTGTCGTCATTTTGTAGTCGGCGCCATGCTTTTATGCCCATATTAGGAACTCCGGGTCTAAGCTTGATTTCTCACTGACCAGAATGAATCGGGTTTTGGAAAAATCGCATTTGTTGCACCCTGTGGTAGATAAAAATGTTCAGAACCCGATATGTTTTGTCCTGTGTACATTTTTCTCTCGAACATCACTGGATCCTCTGAATTACGAGGTCATTAAAGAGTCGAAAGATGGACATTGCTACATGTAAGCTAATGTTACGGCGTACTGAATTCACGTCAGACTGGCAACCTCCTTAAGCAGGCTTTGGCAGTATGATGGTGTATTTCCATGTACAGACTGAGGGCAAGACGAAAAGAAGTCAGAACAGAAGAAGCAGGTTTCCCTGCAGTTCTCTGTTCTTCATCTGATACTCACTGAAGCACTATAGATCTGTCTGTTCTGTACATGGCTTGATTTGAAAAGCTCTACAAACTTACCTGCACTCAGGCTAATTCAGTACAGACTCAGCTTAATATTAGATTACTGTGTACCCCCTGATTTAGACTATTAAAATATCCTAATTATTATTTTAATGCTGGTGATATTTTCTGAGGACATTTTCTCAGGACATTTGCCACCTTCTTGTTCGACTTTTCCTGTTTCACCTTTAATGGCGCCATTTAAGGGTGGAACGGAAAACTTCAAACAAGCAGCTCGTGAAAAAGCTAAATTCAGCTAAATGGAGAGTTGAAATGCATGATATATGCAGGTTTCTCTGTTTCTGCTTGACAGCTGAGTAACTTAATTTTGCTGTTTTACAGAACCAATAGGTCAGTATTGTTAAGTCCCATTTGCTAATGTTTGTGATGGCTAATCACAACCGCTGCACCATTTAAGGTGGAACAGGAACATTCAAGCAAGAAGCTGGCAAAACGAAAGCTAAATTCAGCCTCAGTTTTAACACTGGTAGTGTTTTTTGATAATGAGTTTTGGCCTATCAAAATATATTACCAGATTAATTTATGGGTATACCTGTAAATATACGCTACGGTAGAACATTTCAATAAGGTAGCACAACTCCTCAGAACACCACCATAGCCCGCTTCACTTTTATGTAGCATAGTGGCATCAAATTGATAGCGTTAACATTAGCTTGCATGTAACAATATTAGTTTTAAGACTCTTTCACGATCTTGTAATTCGGAGGATCCAATGATAATCGGGAGAAATATGTACACAGGACAAAGTGTAGGGGTGTGAATCTCTAGGCACCTCACGATTCGATTATGATTCAGAGGGCTGCGATGCAATTATAAAACGATTATTGATGCATCTTTTTTTTCTATACAGGATTTCTTTTTTCCCACTGTGTGACGACTTGGTACTTTTAAAGCAAAGTATTTGTAATGATCCATAATGAATTTACTTCCAATATCTTGTATTAATAAAAAAATTGGTAGTGGTGTGGCAAGTGAACTGGAAGGCTTTCATTCACTGCTCTTATTTGGAGCACATTAGACACAGGCTCCCACTCATCTGTGATAAAATGCACTGTTATGGTGAAATAAGATCCAGTGGCAATTGATGTCCACGCAGCACATTACAGCCATCCTACCCATTTTCTTTTGTATTTTTTTGCTTTTGTTACTTCGGTTTTGGTCTCGTTGTAGAGAGTGGGGGTTGCTGTGTCAGTAAAATATCTTTGAGATGGGACGCTGTATCTTGGCTCCAAAGTGCGCAACATAGTGCGAAAGCCCTGTTTCTCAACGACTGAGCACTGGCGTGCAGACTGCAGGCGACACAGCAACGCAGTCTTGCCTGACTAGTTGCTAACAAAAAGACAAAGAGAGAGATTTAAGCTGAACATTTGGAGACGAATGCACTTATTCGCATTTATAAGCACCGCAGTTGGTTTTCTGAAACATTAAACCTGCAATGAGAGACTGTCAAACACTAAAAAGTTGCGAAGATGAAGTCAGCTTCTCTTTCGAATTCTTCCGTTCCACCTGAAATGGTGCCTCACTTACATTCTGGTGTCTCAGGCAGAATTTAAGGTGGAACGGGAAAATTCGAACAAGAAGCTGGCGAATAAGAAGCGACTTCAGCCTCATAAAACAGTCGAACATTGAGAGACATTTTACAAGAAACTGTTCTACTTTTGAGGAAAAGTTTACTGGCGGAGATGGGAGGAAAGTGGCTATAGCTAAAGCTTAAAGCAGAACAAAGTAAGTCTACGTTTTCATTATATTTTTTAGCCTATACTAGGACATTAGCACATACTGAGACATACCGGACATTAAATGTTGTGGCTCCCAAGGTGTTTGATTTTTGTTGAAAGGACAAAATGGCTCTTCTTAACACCTGGGTTGTCGACTCCTGACCGAACCTAGGTTTTAATGCAGAGGGTGCCGGTTGGATTTCTCACTCATCCAGTTGTGTTTTTGTTAAGTGCACGTCACAGAGTGTCCAGGCGCTGCACTTCTGCACTTCCAAGTTCCACCTTTTGTGTTCCGTCAACATTACGTTATAAATTTAAATTTAGAAAATCGATTTTTGGCATTAGTGAATCATCCACGTCCGTAATGCGATGCATCTAAGAAACGATTTTCCCCCAACCCCTAACAAAGTGTATAGGGTTCTGAACATTTTTATTTAGCACAGGGTGCGATAGAGACGATTTGAAAACCCTATTTATTCTGGCCATAGAGAAAATGAGCTTAGACCCAGAGTTCCTAATATGGGCATAAATCAGACTACAGAATGATGCAAAACTACAGTGGTAAAACTAATCACTATAATCAACTCTGCATTCAATTTTGTGTCAACGCTGTAATATCCAGTCCTAAAATCTAGTAGGACTCTGGCTAGTTGTTAAAAACTTTTGCTTGGTTTTATGACAAAGAGCAACCACTGACGTTAGTACGTATTTGCTTGTGAGTTTTCATATTTAAATGTGTTTCCCGCTAACATTTATTGCTGCGTTCAACTGAAGCTCATTACTTGAGGTGAATTACCTTCCTTTGACAACGCAAAATCAAAGAAAACGCACTCTTAACTGGAAATTCCTACAGGATGGTGTTCTCAGATGAGCTTAGCATATGGTGTAAGTTAATGTGACTGCCTATACTGTCAACTCCACTTTTAAATGGAATTTGCTTTAGATCAGTCAACATCCAACACAGTTAGTTAATACTGACCATAAAGTTCACTGTTGAAAAGGTAAATACATTATGAACTTTAAAGTTATCACTCATATTATTAATGTTAGTTGGCTTACTTGCTTCTAGTTGAATGCAACATATATCTCCACACACAACACAGGTTAGCACTGTGTATCAGTGCATTTTTCACACTGATACGCTTTGTCCTATGTACATTTTTCCACTGTCACTGGATCTTTTATATTATGAGGTCCTTTAGCAGTCAAAATAAAAAAATATGCTACATATGTGTGAAGCAAGCTACTGCTCCTGTGCGTTGAAATGACATAGTAGAGTGCTAAGCTTCACAGTATCAAGATGTAGTTTGATTATAAGATTATTAGGACTGTACTTCAGTGGTTTTTTTTTCTAAATTTATTACTAATAATAATGAATTCACCAAAAATAGTGCCTAAAAGCAATTAAGTCATCTGTGTTGCTATTGCAGTCAGACATAACAGGGTGTCAGTTTCAGTGCTACCACATACTGTGGTACGTGCTGTTTGAGGTATGATTTAGACCACAGATAACAGGAAGCTACAAAAACCACCACTGTTTAAAAATGAACTGTGCTTGCCAGCAAGGACAGAATGCATGACTTTAAAAGAAATGCTAGTGCCAGTCAATGATTAATCAGCTTTGCAATAAACAGCTTGCCAACCACCAGTGTACTGTAGCTGGAATGCTAGCACCCTACACATAATTGTATAAATAGATAATCTACACTATATGGCCAAAAGTATGTTGACACCTGACCGTCACACCTGTATGAGCTTGTTAGACATCCCATTCTGAAACCATTGGAATTTATATAGAGTAGCCTCCCCCCTTTACAGCTATAACTTTCCACAAGTTTCCACAAGATCTTGGAGTGTGTCTGTGGGAATTTGTGCCAATTAGACCAAAAGAGGATTTGTGAGGTCAGGCACTGATGTTGGACAAGAAGGCCTGGCTCACAATTGATGTTCCAATTAATCCCACAGGTATTCACTGGAGTTCCTCCACACCAAACTCAAACCATGTCTTTATGGACCTCGCCTTGTGCACAGGGGCACAGCTTCCCTGAATTGTTGCCACAAAGTTGGAAGCATAGAATTGTCTAAAATGTCTTTGTATGTTGTAGCATTAGTATTACCCTTCACTGGAACTAAGGGGACTAGCCCAAACCCTTATACCACTCCAGCCAATGCTTGCCATTGCTCCTAATGATCTTATGCTTGAGTGCAGCTGCTCAGCCATGGAAACCCATGTAATGAAGCTCTTGACACACGTCTTGTGCTAATGTTTCTTCGGAGGAAGTTTGGAACTCCATATAGAATGGAACAGAGGATTTTTACGTGTAGCACACTTCAGCACTTGGCTGTGAGTTTATTTGGTCTACTGCTTTGTGATTGAGCTCTTGGAGTTCCTAGACAGAGGCAGCAGAAAAATTCAGGAACAGGAACAGGAGAA